AGAAACGACAGCATACTACATATCGATGTACAAAAAAAAAAAAATCTATAGTATAGTTGATGCAAACTTGTAATCTATACACTGCGGGATGTACTACATGTTTCAACAAGTCATTGCCCACCCATTCCAGATCACCAGGTAGCCCAATCATAGTAGTAACTCTCTGATATGTTGGGTAAGATATGGAAGGACTCAACTCTTCAACGTCTCCCATCAACACAAGGTCTACGTTCTTAAGTTGCTTCAGCTTCAGGAACTCTGGTTGTGTGACAGGAGAGACCAGGATGGACGTGATGATGGATGGAGGGGTATAGTTGCGTCCACATCCAGCAGGAGAGCTGCCAGCGCATTTGGTGTGCGAAGTAGCAACAGATCATGCAGCTTAGAGAAAGCAGACATGAAGATGCTGAATGCAGTGACACTTGCATGAACCCTATTAAGCGACAATCACTGAAGCTTTGGAAACAGCAAGCCAGTTCTGCTGACGGCTGCCGGGTGCTTGCTGAAGCCAGTTGCACAGTAGCTGAGGAGACTTTCAATGTTTTGTGCTGGTTTCACTGATAGCTCGTGGAATGATGGGATTTACGTCCTCGATGGAAAGTGCGACAAGGTTTGGGGTGTCAAGGCGACTGAGTAGCGCGATCAACGAATCCATCTCGACATACCCCACATACCCCAAGTGAAGCTCCTCAAGCATCGGAAGTGACACGACACCGCGACAGTGATATGGCTGCGAAAGGACCGGCCCAGATTCCCTAATGAGAAGTCTTCGCAGCAGAGGACACACATTGATTATTGCTGTGAAAACTGATCAAACGTTGGCCTGAGAGTTCTGTCGTGGTACGAAAGCTCCAATGACTGAATGCAGTGACCCACACCAAGGGTAAAATGAAACCTGCCCAGTTCAACGGAATACCAAAGATATCCACGTGTCGCAGTTTCGGGAGGGGGTGACATGGCGCAGGAACTTGCGCAAGGGTGTCTTGATCAGACGCGCCAGTCAAGATGGCGAATGGGACACTATCAAGCTCCAGAGGAGGGAGGAATTGTTCTGCATGGGCATGGTAAAAGTCATTGGATCGCTTGAGCTTGATGAACTCAAGACACGAAGCTGCTGAACCACCTCGAGTCGGATTGTGCGAGCTGAGAAGTCAAAGTGCAGCACAAAGTGGCTTCAAAGTATCGCTGGTGACCTCCAGCGAACGCCATCGGTCCATCTGCAGGAACAAAAAGGCAAAGAGGTGGGGCAAACAGTCTGCATAGAGTTGGCTGGTTTCAGTTGAGGACGGGGACATGCACCTGAAGGTAGAGACATTTAGACTTCCTTGAGTTGTAAATAAGGCGAACATCTTGCCCGATCAATTCACGCGATTTTGGATCGCGAGCGTCGATGAGAATGTCCAGCGAGGAATGTTTCGACTGCATGATAAAATTCGATAACTGATCAAAGGGTTGTTTATGGAAGGTGAATACGTGATTGGGATGCGATCAGATGAGCGCCTTGAGATCAATACTGAGTGTTGACCATAAGGTCGGGACAGATAGTGCAAGCTTTCTCCAGCGGGAATTCACGGACGCCAGTACAGTTGGCAGAGTTACACTTTCAGGACTGAATACGCGTCCTTCTTCAGAGTCACAGTCGTGTGTGGCTAACGTGAATATGTATGACAGTAACTCCACTGGAAGGGACTCGATATGACACCGTGGGACAACCTGGGAACTCATGGAATGATATTCGAGCAATATATTTGATGGTAGATGATGGCCAGAGGTAGTCGCCTGTGAAGCACCGATCAGCAGCACAAACAGGTGAATAGTGAAGGTAAGAGCATGAACAAGAGTAAGCTCGGATGAATCGATGAGTTAGATTTGACAGCAGCTACGGATTGACACGTAGAATGATACGGTAGACGATGTAGAAAGCGAGGAAAGTGCGCGACAGTACAAACTGTTTTAATGTGACAGGTAGGTGGAAAATGTGTGCAGATTGATCCTTGGAATTATAAGGGATCGATGACAATGAAGTTTGGTGTGGAAAGTGAAACCGGAACGCAACAATAAAGTGTGGTGACACGCAGGATTTAAACTGAATATGTGGATCAGGACCACTGAAGTTGAATCGAAAAAGCTGAGGACAACAGTACAAGTATTTCACACAAGTAGGGAGGTGAATGGGTCGGGCGACGCTAACAACATTATGCACCGCGGAGGAATAAACAGCTGGGATGACTTTTTAAATTTAAAATAAAGGTAAATTTGTATAGTACAGCGTTCTGTCATGCAATGGCAACGACGGGGAGAAAGGAACACGATGATGACCGACTGAAGTCAGGAGGGTACTAAGCAGGCGACAAAAAACGACACATGACCGTACACACAGTCATGCCGCATGAAGCATGAATAGGGTGAAAATTCGTTTATCGTGGACGTTGAACCATGGAGTAGGAAGATGAGGAATCGTTCATTGAAGTGAAAGAGCATCGAGCATTACGAGCTTGATGGTACAAACCATCGAGCTCCGGGCGACGAAAGCTTCGTCATGTGTTAATTGTCATCCTGACAAAATTTCAGGTCAATGAAGGAAAGACACGAAAATACAAACTGTCGTGCCATAGCCAAGGGAGATGGACGCGATGGTACATACCGTCACGCCAGGGGAAGTTCAAGAGAAGTAGATTAGTCTAACCAAGTGCATGTGTCACGTGTCACGTGTGAAATTAATATTGCATACGGGAATCATTAGGTAAGTTATTTGGCATTGTTGGGCTCTTTGCATCTCCAAAGTTCCAAGTCCATTAATTCTTACTAGTATACACGTTTAATTTACCTTCACTTTTCCTTGCACACGGACTCGACAGTTTGTATTGCCGAGCTCGTCGTTGTAGGGATCCCTCATTATGCTCTCTTCCTTCCCTACAGCATGACTGTTTGTATGGTCATGTCCCCGCCTTGAACATACCAAGTCCGACTCCCTTGTTACTCCCTGGGTTCGACGTCTCCAATGGTCTTTCTCCTTCTCTACATGGCATGACTGTTTGTATGGTTGTGTGCATCTAGTTCGTGTTAATGGGGACTGCCTCGAGCCATTTTCGACCATCAGACTTTGCCACCCTACCTGAGACCGCGACCTGCTCCAATCTCAGCCGCCAATCAACAAGATTTTATGAGCATGATGGTTTGTACTGTATAGCTTACTGTCTTCGATCCACACCATTCTTTGATTTTCCTAGCGACACGGTAGGTACCATTCATGCAGCTCATTGAACCTTCCTGCGTACATTATATTGACATGTTAAACACGCGTGCTTTCTACATCTACATCTACCTTACTGCTCTGGGGCAAACAAGTAATTCAACTTGACGCCTTTGTTTATCTTCTGGATGTTCATCTTTGTTGATCTCCCCACCTGCTGGAGCCAGCTCCATGAGATTGTCTGCCAATCCTTGGAGCAATCTGATGTCGTCTGTGGCGTGTCCGTTTTTCCGACCTTCTGTCCCAACACGCAGGTATTTGTCAAACATCATGGCTGCTTTGAGATGTTGGGAAAAGTGGTCGGCTGCAATATCGCATCTGTTTTTATGCCTTACTGATCCGGTTCTTCAAACTATTATCATGTGCACTTCCGATGCTGTTCCTCCTTTCTATGACTTGGAGCCCAGTGCCCTGCCACCCTTTCCTTCGATGCTCACGGACCAGCTCGAGCTATTTGGCAAAGTCCATCGTCCCTCGACCACACTTATCGCTGATGAAGTCCTGGTTCCTAAAGCTAGTATCATTCTTCCCATTATAAGGGTGTCGTCCACACCCGCCCCTGAGTCTAAACTTGCAAAGTGGTCGCTGAAGCATTCTGATTGCTCTTTCTCCCCATACTCAAAGAAGGTCGCTTTCACACGTTCCGATTCTCAAACTCCTAAGCCCTTAGATTCAGCGAGCTCTTCGGATTCTCTGTCAGACAGTGACTCCACAACTTCAAGCGTGAATTTATCAGAAGATTCGAAGATTCCTAAACCTGCTGGCGAACCTGGGCACCCAGGGCGTGGAGGGTACACACTTCATGAGGCTTTGGATTGGAATCCAAAGGCCTACGTGAAGTTCAAGGTTCGCCGAGCATGCCCTCAGTATTGAAAAGCAGCTAACAAATCAAATCCCTAAGAAATATATGCACAGGCTCATTGAAGATCACCTTGACACGACACAATGTGCTTCTGCCCAAAGTGCTGCGCTCTTGAAAGTTGTGTGCGGCAAGGTGACGCCCGCCATCAGTCTCAGTTTTGTCAGTGATCTCATGGTGTATTAGGCTCTCCACGAATTCCTGGACCTTGAAGATTATAGCAACTCATGGCCAGAAAACGACATGATTATGACATGGCTCAAATACACGTTGGGTCGTGCTAGACGAAAGGAGGGAGAGATGGCTTTAGGCAAGAGCAAGAGCACGAGGCGTCAATCCGAGGCATAACATATCTACATAGAACTAAATCGTAATATGGACGAGATACCTTAATTCACAAGAGTGTGAGACAGACAAGGCGACAAAAAACAAAAAAATTGTCCGATTCGCAAAGTCAGTAAGACCACAACATTGACAAACCCTGCAGTTTCCCTCACGGCATGATCAGGCACTGAACGAGTTTACTAAGTCAGACTCAGGGCCTAATTAATGTGATTTTACTTCACGTCATGGATTTTGGTTTCGGCAATGCGACGCACTTTCTAATCCAGAACTGAGCGCACCCCACAGAGACAGAAGAAATGTAGCTACTGTTTCTCAGAATGAAGCAACTATGACAACACTAGGCCTATATCACCGTGCCCGCCTCCCCAAATTACAAAGCCGCTGTAAAAAGCGCTATGACACAAGTCCTGGTAATCTGAACCATATTTTGTTGTTGTTTTGTCAATAGTGACCGAAAAGTGAGTATCAGGCGACCTTGACGTTTGTTGTCCATCAGTCGGAGTAACTGTAAATTAAAAGCAAGTAACATGCGACGTCGTCAGGACACAATAGCTATGGATTATCCACGTTGGTTTTAGCAGGGCGACGATGTGCTTTACTTAGAACGTTGACGATGAAATCTGGAGAAACCCACCGGCGATGTGGGGATAGTGGCGTGTTATGGTCATGATGCTCTTATCTGATGGATACAAATTCTTTACTTTCGAGATGCGCAAACGTTGTTATTCAGAGGAAACTTGGATAGTGGGTGCCATTATAGGCCACGTGAGTGACAAGGCCGCTATGGATAAGTGATATATGAAAATTAAATGATGTGAGAGAGTTGCGGTAAAGGGCCCAAACTATGAAGCTCGGCAGTCATGCTCGCTTGGCAAGGTAGCAGGCATGGTCGGGGCTGTACAAGATCTTGCAGTAGAATACAGAAAAGTTCAGTACAAGACCAAGGCGGAGATCGCTTACTTTCGAGATGAGAATGTTGGACAAGAAAGAGGACTTGGAAAAAAGAACCTTGAAGTCACCAGCACCTCTCAGCAGTACAAACTGCTGAGGGTCAATGATGATATAGTTCCATGCACAGAAAATATGTACGTGACCGTACATACAGTCATGCCATTATAGTAGTCATGCACCGGTTGTGGGAAGGGCCCGAAGGCCATCGTGAAGTTCACAGCTTATTATGTAATAATTTTGATCGCCCTCAGCTCTAGAGTTCGTCGCCCGCCCACTACTGCCGAGCTCAATGGTCTGTACTGTCGAGGTTATCCTCCTCAATCTATGCGGGTCTCTGAGTACGACGGTCTGTACTGTCAGATTCACTGTTCTTGATTTCCACCATCCCTCGAGACCATCGTTGTTTTCTAGTGCACAGACATTGTGTCAAGCTTCATATTGGGATGAGTTCAAGTACAAGGAGACGTATGAGACCGAGTATTGGAGAAGTATGAGTCGAGTACAAGTGGGGAGACGTATCACAGACAGGTATGCTATGTAGATTGTATTACATCCAACTTGGTCCTACATCACGGTTGTGTTTAGATATTCATGGTCTCAGCCTCAGGATATTCTCCTGGCATTGTAGACCCTATCTCTTCATCAAGAGCGTTGTCGTGCTTCAAGGTATGCTCACTCACCTGCCCTGGAGATCATTTTCAAATCCTTTGATGACATACCCAGTGCCATTCCGAGTAATCCGAGTCCACTTGTCACACCATTCACAATGCAATATGTGATCGCATGTGGTATGAGATAATCGTATGTTTGTTTGGCATTCTATTGATATGTAATTCGTTCAGATTGCCTGAAGTGAATGGTCCGCCTTACTAGTCTGTCTGGCCTCCGCACAAGCAGCACCATATCGTCGACATCGACACATACCAATGCAGCTTGGAGTGCTATATGCACGCGCTTGCGAACCTGGTCAGTGCGGGGATCCATTGTTTTAAAGTAACATTTTATGTACTTGTCCGCGGTTTTCTGCAGCCTGCGAACAAGTCTTCTTCTCTTAGGGGACTGGTGACCCTTGCTTTTACTGCCAGCAATGTTTCTCACTGGAACGACGGCCAGGGATCGGATCTTATATTTGGTAAGCTGCAGGGTTTATCAGCATTGCAGTTGTGCTAACCTCATCATCTTCCATAGTGGTGTCCACACATCCATATGTTTCACTAGCGGAGCTCATGGGTAGGTCGATATCCATATCTGATCCTACCCAGATGCCCTGACATTTGTCAGTGATGTAATGTTGGTAAGTGATCAACTCACAACATCGTCTTTGCATCGTTGGAGCTCAAGCTGATAAGATTTCAAGGATGCATCGATCCCCCATTCAAGTTCCTGAATCTTGTGTGCCTCCGAGGACCTTAAGGTGCGTGGTGAAGCTTTGGAATATGGGTTGAACCGCATATTGAACGCGCTGTATTTGCAAGAAGGCAAGTTGTATCCCATAACTTCTGCGATACTTACCGAGTTGAGTTTGGACGATGATATTATACTGTAATCATTGTTTGCGACCCAGTCATAGCATCCCTTGACTGCATTATGGTCGCTTCCTTACTCAATTGTCATCCCAAGTGTATTGTCATCTCAAATGCTGGAACGAAACAATTATGGGCCCTGATTAATGATTCATTAAGTTGCGTTTGAGAGTAGTTACATTCCGATCATACTGATGTCATGATGTAGTCGGATTCCAGCCGCACTCTTCCCGCGAACTTCGATCTGCATTCGCGTCAATTCAATCGTGTTATTATCATGAAGCCAGTCAATTGTTGTGCTGTTGTTGCAGCCTGATAACAACGCAAATCCTAAAGAAATAGGGGTGGTGTTGGAACAAGTGAGTGCACTTTTGCAAGGCGGCACTAATCATATAAAATAAGCACTTATCCTTCATAGCTACTCCCATCTTTCAAAGCCAAACCCATAAAATGTGAGCCGCTCCTGTCAAACCTGTTCTCAATGCTACACGGTTTTTTTACAGATGTTGTCAAGTGTCGGATATGTAGATTCACTGTCATCATTGTGCTCCCTGGAGGTACATTAATTTGAAGCTACCACTGTAATGCCACCTGCTAACTATATGAAGGAGCATGCAACCTTAAAGTGAAAGGCTCTGGATGACTTCATAGACAGTTCTCAATGTCCCTCTCGCAAGAGGCATGCTTGTGCCTCCTATCTTCCGTGGGCCTTGGCGGCATTTGTTATGCGTGATATATCCAAACCTGCAAAAGCACGGAGAGGCACCTTGTCCTGCTCCTATGCAATTGTGGACCTAAATGTGATCCTGCTAGTATGTTCTCCCTGTATTTATTTTGTTCAAGTTCTCACTGTATTTTGCAGGATGCGTGGGCTCTAGGTTATCAATCTGGCGCTGCGGTGGACCTATGCGATGGAGAGCACTGCAACGTAGCTAAGCCCAAACTCATGAAAAGGTCAGATACATCATAAATATTGAGTGTAATGCTGCTCATTCCTATACCAAAGAGCCGAGGCAATGACATCAGAGATTGGTCATGAGTCTGCAGAAGAGGACTTCAAGAAGATGTCAAAATGCAAGGCCCTTGAAGAAGTTCCAAGCGGTTCTTCTCCACCAACCCCCAAGAGGCGCTCTTTGTCTCACTTGCCTGTAATCGCCAATCTAATCGTAAGTTGGCTAGCACCCCACAACAATATCTTCCATGTCTCACTGCATTTGTCACAGATACCGACACTTGGGACAGCGGATTCAACGATCCAGTCTCCACATTGGCCCTTCCCGAATGAGCTTGTCTTGAATATTTTGGAAAAGTTGCCAGCTCAGCATCTGCAGTCTATTGCACAGGTGTCTTGTTTCTCTTGGGAGCTAGTGGCACCTCTCTACTTTCGTTCTGTAGGCTTGCAGATCAATGACAAGTCCCTGCTTGTCAGCACCCAAGCCTGTCTCACCCTGCTCCTGTACAGGCGCACAACCTTTTTTCACACGCCGAAGTATTTGCGATGCAATCTCCTTGACGCAGATGATCGTCACCTCAAGGCGCTCCTGGGTTTCTTGGAGTCATTTGAAAGCACGCAAGTGTTCTTTGTCTCTATCGTGAAAGATGGTGAAATGCTTGGAGATTTTGTGCCTCTGTTTCAGTCCATACAAGACTCAAGCTGCAGGAGTCTTCAGTTCTCAGATTGGGAGGTGTCTTACCATGTGTATCCTCTGCCAATTCTTCCTGACTTAGCTGCTGTTCCAACCCCCCCCCCCCCCAACAGATGTAATTTTCAAACATTCCACACAAACTCGCCCATATTTTTCTCCCAATCCATGGTTTCCCTCACCCTCTCATCATTGTGGAACTCTTCGTTGACCGACCTTAGCATCACACATACTTCATTGAGTACCCCTCAGTGGACAGTGTTGATGTGCGACCTTCATCTCCCGCAGCTTATATTCTTGTCTATTGACATCGAGTGTCCAACTCCTGCTCTCGTTGAGTTCTTGCCGCGACATGATATTCACCAGCTTTGGCTTTATGGTCGATGCATTGATCGTCATCATCATCATCTTATGCAGAAAACAGATACCCCTCTCATTCCTTTACATAGCTTACACGTTCTCGCTGGACCGCTGTGGTACCTCATGTCTCTATTACACAAAGTTTGTGCGCCTCTACACATTCAAACACTCGAATTGCACCTCGACGAGGAATCTCTGGCATCCGCTCCCAATTACTTGTCTGCGATCCTGGACATTACTCAACAATTCATTGCTATAGATTGCCTGGGACTGAGCTTTTATCACGGATCGCTGATTTCTGGAAGTTTTGACGTCCCATTGGACGAGTATCAAACTATTTCTGTGAAGAAGCTCACAATTTATCTACCACATTGGTACAAATATTCAGATCAGCACCCCTTGGCAAGTGCCACATACTACTAAGCTACATTGAGGGCTAAACTAATGTTATGTGCATATAGCTCTGCTGCAGTCCTTGGCTAGGAGTCTTCGACCATGTTGAAGAAGTTTATCTCAAGCCTGGAAACATAACATCATCTGAGCGGCAGGAACTGGAGGATGCTTTTTACCGCCCAGAGCATCTCTACCATTTGGATATCGGCAGTTATTTCTGACATATGGCACCCAGGTCTCCGCTTATTCTTCTCCCACTTGTACTTCTCCAATATCGAGGTCTCTGATACTTTCCCTGCTTGTACTCACTCATACTTATCCAATATTTGGTCTCATATGTTGCCTTGTTCTATGTCAATACCCAGTTTCCCAAACAATTAAAAGCTGCTGCCCAAGTACAATTAACTGCGTATGGTGTAGCACTTGGATCGGTGTTGGGCTCATATCCTGCCAAACTCATAGGTATTCCACATACACATTCCTCGACACTCTGTTTACCTTCCGAGAGTTCCATGCATTCATTCGAGTCGTCCGAAGGTCGTCCGTCCATTTCCAAGGCCTGTATACAGTTCCGATCCTCCGTACCATGTCCCATCCGTGTCCGTTTGACTTCGCTGGTGCGTTCTTCACTTGGTTATCTGTTATTGATTATGTCTAGGGGCACATATGTCGTCGGCCCATCAGTTATACGTGCCTTGCATCTTATTACATGCATATCTCTGTAGCAGCTCGCCTTGAGTCTTATTACATTTCGGATGTCTTATCTCGCTACTGGTTTCGCCTACGCAGTTTCCGGACTTTCATGCTGTAGGATATAATCTGCCTCGCTAGCTACTTGCACTTCACTTCACTTTCCCTGCTACGAGTCATAGTTAGTAGAGTCACTTTCGGATAGTCGTACTTCGCGCAATCGATCTTTTGTTCATTCGGAACAATTGTTTGGCCTGACCGCTGCCATTTCACATCTCGCTGTCTCTGAGTTCTTTTGATAAGACTTTGCTTAGTTATACTTCGCAAGTCTTATACTTCGACACACCTGTCATACTTCTCTCGGAACCTTCGCTGTTCATCGGAAGCTCTTCGGACACTTCGCGCAACCTCGGACCTTCGTTTCTTGACGTCGGACCATCTTCAAACCATCTTCGGACTACTTCGGACGCATCCTCGGAACATCGAGCATGCCCTTGGTAACTTTCCTTTCTCTCATCCTCGATCTTAACAAAGATATCCCTTGCATTATATCAAGGAGTATTTCTATAGGCAGTCTCTTTGGGATGAGCATATCACTCGCACATTGAGTTCTGAAGGTAACACTTTGTAGAGCCCACACAGAATCAACTCTTTACAACGGTGAACAGCAAGAGTAACATATTGTTGGTGAACAGGCACAATATAGTAGGGTTATAGTAGGGATGTGGTAAGGATATTGGGTATGTGACAAATGGGAGGAATCAATTTGTATCAACACGATGTGCGCACTCCACTGGAACCCCTTTGAAGTGAACGATGTGGCGGAGATGTTAGATATAGAAAATATGGTTCTGAAGCAAGTCACACATCCCGCTCACTTCTCCTAAGTCGGTGCTAAGATCGACGCTTACACCTACATGCAATGTATGAAGGCATTACGCATAGGATGAACGCAAAACCACCCTGCACCATACTGAAATTACATGGTTGGTGATGTGCACGGAGTCTGTGAAAAGTCACTCGAGTGCCGATGGACAAACGTGTGAGACAGCATCTTGCGGTTGATGCTGCATTGTGCAAAGTGTAGCGAAGGACTTGGAACGTTGATGAGAAAGGCGCAGACATGATGGTACATACAGTCATATCATGTTGAGAGGGGGGAAGACCATTGGAGACGTCGAACCCAGGGAGTAACAAGGGAGTCGGACTTGGTATGTTCAAGGCGGGGACATGACCATACAAACAGTCATGCTGTAGGGAAGGAAGAGAGCATAATGAGGGATCCCTACAACGACGAGCTCGGCAATACAAACTGTCGAGTCCGTGTGCAAGGAAAAGTGAAGGTAAATTAAACGTGTATACTAGTAAGAATTAATGGACTTGGAACTTTGGAGATGCAAAGAGCCCAACAATGCCAAATAACTTACCTAATGATTCCCGTATGCAATATTAATTTCACACGTGACACGTGACACATGCACTTGGTTAGACTAATCTACTTCTCTTGAACTTCCCCTGGCGTGACGGTATGTACCATCGCGTCCATCTCCCTTGGCTATGGCACGACAGTTTGTATTTTCGTGTCTTTCCTTCATTGACCTGAAATTTTGTCAGGATGACAATTAACACATGACGAAGCTTTCGTCGCCCGGAGCTCGATGGTTTGTACCATCAAGCTCGTAATGCTCGATGCTCTTTCACTTCAATGAACGATTCCTCATCTTCCTACTCCATGGTTCAACGTCCACGATAAACGAATTTTCACCCTATTCATGCTTCATGCGGCATGACTGTGTGTACGGTCATGTGTCGTTTTTTGTCGCCTGCTTAGTACCCTCCTGACTTCAGTCGGTCATCATCGTGTTCCTTTCTCCCCGTCGTTGCCATTGCATGACAGAACGCTGTACTATACAAATTTACCTTTATTTTAAATTTAAAAAGTCATCCCAGCTGTTTATTCCTCCGCGGTGCATAATGTTGTTAGCGTCGCCCGACCCATTCACCTCCCTACTTGTGTGAAATACTTGTACTGTTGTCCTCAGCTTTTTCGATTCAACTTCAGTGGTCCTGATCCACATATTCAGTTTAAATCCTGCGTGTCACCACACTTTATTGTTGCGTTCCGGTTTCACTTTCCACACCAAACTTCATTGTCATCGATCCCTTATAATTCCAAGGATCAATCTGCACACATTTTCCACCTACCTGTCACATTAAAACAGTTTGTACTGTCGCGCACTTTCCTCGCTTTCTACATCGTCTACCGTATCATTCTACGTGTCAATCCGTAGCTGCTGTCAAATCTAACTCATCGATTCATCCGAGCTTACTCTTGTTCATGCTCTTACCTTCACTATTCACCTGTTTGTGCTGCTGATCGGTGCTTCACAGGCGACTACCTCTGGCCATCATCTACCATCAAATATATTGCTCGAATATCATTCCATGAGTTCCCAGGTTGTCCCACGGTGTCATATCGAGTCCCTTCCAGTGGAGTTACTGTCATACATATTCACGTTAGCCACACACGACTGTGACTCTGAAGAAGGACGCGTATTCAGTCCTGAAAGTGTAACTCTGCCAACTGTACTGGCGTCCGTGAATTCCCGCTGGAGAAAGCTTGCACTATCTGTCCCGACCTTATGGTCAACACTCAGTATTGATCTCAAGGCGCTCATCTGATCGCATCCCAATCACGTATTCACCTTCCATAAACAACCCTTTGATCAGTTATCGAATTTTATCATGCAGTCGAAACATTCCTCGCTGGACATTCTCATCGACGCTCGCGATCCAAAATCGCGTGAATTGATCGGGCAAGATGTTCGCCTTATTTACAACTCAAGGAAGTCTAAATGTCTCTACCTTCAGGTGCATGTCCCCGTCCTCAACTGAAACCAGCCAACTCTATGCAGACTGTTTGCCCCACCTCTTTGCCTTTTTGTTCCTGCAGATGGACCGATGGCGTTCGCTGGAGGTCACCAGCGATACTTTGAAGCCACTTTGTGCTGCACTTTGACTTCTCAGCTCGCACAATCCGACTCGAGGTGGTTCAGCAGCTTCGTGTCTTGAGTTCATCAAGCTCAAGCGATCCAATGACTTTTACCATGCCCATGCAGAACAATTCCTCCCTCCTCTGGAGCTTGATAGTGTCCCATTCGCCATCTTGACTGGCGCGTCTGATCAAGACACCCTTGCGCAAGTTCCTGCGCCATGTCACCCCCTCCCGAAACTGCGACACGTGGATATCTTTGGTATTCCGTTGAACTGGGCAGGTTTCATTTGTACCCTTGGTGTGGGTCACTGCATTCAGTCATTGGAGCTTTCGTACCACGACAGAACTCTCAGGCCAACGTTTGATCAGTTTTCAGCAATAATCAATGTGTGTCCTCTGCTGCGAAGACTTCTCATTAGGGAATCTGGGCCGGTCCTTTCGCAGCCATATCACTGTCGCGGTGTCGTGTCACTTCCGATGCTTGAGGAGCTTCACTTGGGGTATGTGGGGTATGTCGAGATGGATTCGTTGATCGCGCTACTCAGTCGCCTTGACACCCCAAACCTTGTCGCACTTTCCATCGAGGACGTAAATCCCATCATTCCACGAGCTATCAGTGAAACCAGCACAAACATTGAAAGTCTCCTCAGCTACTGTGCAACTGGCTTCAGCAAGCACCCGGCAGCCGTCAGCAGAACTGGCTTGCTGTTTCCAAAGCTTCAGTGATTGTCGCTTAATAGGGTTCATGCAAGTGTCACTGCATTCAGCATCTTCATGTCTGCTTTCTCTAAGCTGCATGATCTGTTGCTACTTCGCACACCAAATGCGCTGGCAGCTCTCCTGCTGGATGTGGACGCAACTATACCCCTCCATTCCATCACGTCCATCCTGGTCTCTCCTGTCACACAACCAGAGTTCCTGAAGCTGAAGCAACTTAAGAACGTAGACCTTGTGTTGATGGGAGACGTTGAAGAGTTGAGTCCTTCCATATCTTACCCAACAATATCAGAGAGTTACTACTATGATTGGGCTACCTGGTGATCTGGAATGGGTGGGCAATGACTTGTTGAAACATGTAGTACATCCCGCAGTGTATAGATTACAAGTTTGCATCAACTATACTATAGATTTTTTTTTTTTTGTACATCGATATGTAGTATGCTGTCGTTCTATCTTGTCCTGCGAAAATATAATTTGAGTCTGCGTGTGTGGTACGTTGCTGATTCAAATGAGCTGCATTGAAACAAATTTGTAATGTAGACCAACTTATCTGTGCTCGCTGCGAAGCTCGCTCAGATTACCAACTACAAAAGCAGGCATTATTACATAAGCTTGAGTCATGTAGCCAATCCTTACTAGTGTACTACTAGTATACGCTTAGTTTACCTTCATCTTTACCTTCACTTTCCTTGCACACAGACTCGACGGTTTGTACTGCTGAGCTCATCATCATAGGCGTCCTTCCGCCTTCTTCCTCGTCATGTTCGCTTCCTTCCCTACAGCATGACTGTTTGTACGGTTGTGTCCCCGCCTTTT